TCTCAGAGTTAATTTGATATGAGCACACAGCAGTAGCAGATTCAAGCCTTCAGATGCAGTCTCCCTCCTTTCTTCTCCCAGTTTCTGAATTATTCTGTTCATTTACACTACAAAGTTTATCCGGCCAATAAATTAACAGCAGAGGTAGTAACCAGCTACCATTTCAACATCAGATGAATGCTGTCAGCAAACAAGGAAGCTACAGAAGCCAAACTACCACACCAGTGAAAATCCTGAAGATGTTACCTTTTCCAGAAAGAAATCCCCTGGATTCTTGATACAGAGGCATATGACATCCTCCCCCTCCCACAGTTTCTCTCTACATAATTTGATTTTGCCGGAAGTGACTTGCCAGCTAAAGCAAAGCCAACTTGCCTTAACACTGTCCATTTTACCAGCTCCCACTTTTAACCTGCCAATGTACCTGCTTACACAAAACCATCCAAACCATAGACCTTTGGTATGGCTTTGAACAACTACCATAGACCTAAGTGGACATAAGATGGAAAATAACACTTAAAAAAAAAGTTGCATAGCCTACTCTTACACATAAGGTAACACGCTTAGAAATAAGCTGCATGCTTTTGCTCCCGTCATCCACTCAAACCACTAATTTTGCTGCGAGGAGAGATTATCAGCCTTAGAAACAAAAATTAGCCAGTTGACATAGGTCTAGCATTAATGATTTTAAATGCCCTTTTTATTCACCTTGCCTTAAAACAAAGTCTAATCTCATCTTGTACTTCTAGAATATTCATGCCATATTGAAATTAGCCAGTTATCAGCCAATCTGGATGAGCTTCTCATTTAAAGAATAAAAACTGAGATCAAAAAAATACATTATCTGTTCCCATATTAATACTGCACATGAATCAAATGACCGAAGTGTTCATCCACATTTAGAACTTAATTTTCAGTTGAAATCCATGCCCTCAAAATCTGAAACTGCTGAGTGTCTGAGTGGCTTCGACATACAATGTACTTTCATGGTTTTTCTTTGGTCCGGGCAGTTTGAAAAGACTGGCAATGGCACAAAAAAAAGGAAAAAGCGCTATAAAACTATGAAGCAAACTACTTATCTTGTAAAGATAATTAAGTTCTGGCAGAAGAGCTGCAGGTGTGAGGGACAAGAAATTGCCACACTAGAGCAGCAGGTCTGTCTGTGGCTGTTTTACCACCACGGCCCCCTTGGCTGGGTGGCCATTTGGAAAACGTGGACAGAGCTACTCTAACGCCCTTGATTTGAGACTTCAGCTACATGGGCAGGGCAGAAGAATCACCCTCAGCCCATCCTTCACTCTTACACAGCTCCCCAAATACCTCCAACACCCCATCCCTCAACCCAGCTCCGTCCCAGGGAGCATCGGGGACTGCCGTGCGTCCTCGTGCCGAGCCCCTGGAGCAACCGGCCTCCAGTGAGCACCGGTACGCACCGCGGAGATCAACAATCCCGGGCAGCCAGCAGGAAAAGCCTGGCTTCCCGCGGTGTTCACCAACGGGCACCTCCCCACCACGGGTACCGCCACAGCAGGGTGAGACAGTCCGGCCCTTCCATGCTCTCAGTGTAAATTAGAATTCAATGCAATCAAACACAAGCTCAGTATTCAGAGCCCAAGCGAGAACCATAGAGCACAGTGAGGTTTGAGACAGTACCAGGTTTGACTCCTCTGTGGCTTCCCTACATCTTCCCAAAGGGAAACTGGACAGGGATTTTTAAACCCTTCATCTAACTAAAAAGATTATTTGGCTTGTGAGCAGTAGATTGGCAAGAGCCTATATTCCTAACTCATGACCTAACATCTCACTCAGGAGCGCAACACTGAAATACCGCTCTGCCAAAGCCTCGCCACACAGCAATTGTACGCCGCCAATTAAAATTAATTATAGCTGTTGAAAACCTTAGAACGCAAACCCTTCCAAAGTGCAAGGGCACGCTAATCCTGCTCCAATACTTCAGTTTCAGGAAGGAACAATAAACTCATTTTCTAGGTAGAATTTGACTACAGCTTTCATGTCTTCTCAGACAGGTCTAAACCCCAGAGCTCGTTTGGTTAGCATTTGGATCCGACCCTAATCCAAGCCATGATTTGGGTTCTGAACCCTAAAGCCACCTTTTCAACGAAATAAAACCACTGAATGAGAACGGCTCGCAAGGTCTTTGTACAGACGGACAAAAAAGAGACCGAGACACAGGGGCAACAGCACAATTGGGCTGACAAAGTGCTGAGCAAGGACAGAGGATTAACGCCTGATGGAACCTCAGCGCCGTCAGCTTTCACCCCTGGGCTCCAGCAGACGGACCGAGCACGGTTCGTGGCAGTTGCTCTGCAGAAAGGCTCTGGGGTGGGTTTCGACGGCGCAAGGCTGCAGAGGAAGGTGTTTTGTCTTCGGCAGCATGGAGATGATGGCTCCCACCCAGCCTTCTGCCGCGTGTACCTGAACTTAGAATTTCCAGAGAGGAGGAGACAAATGAGGGCACAAGCAAGGGCACATCCAACCGGCACAGTTTACATCAAAATTTCCGAAATGCCGCGAATAAAGCGATGACTTGACGGCACCCTCTGCACGTTTTTTCCCAGCGAGACTCCCCAGCTGAATTCAAAGAGTACTCTGCAAGTCAAAAAGCCCCAGACAACACACAGCTATTCACATCTTCTGATCGTTTCCTCCACGCAAACTCAGCCTAGAAGCACAGGCTTTAATCCCACTGTGATTAAAGACTTTTGTCATTCAATTAGACTTTCTCAATCCAGACCAAAGTACTGGTTTGCAAAATTCACATACCGCCGGATGCATCGCCTCCGAATCCGCAGGGCCAGCAGACAGCGGTGTTTAAGGAGAACCAGCAGCCCTCGCCTACTTCTATGGCTTCACACCAATTTCTCTAAAGCAGTCGAATAATAACGAGACTTTTCTTAATTAGAGGCCTAAACCAAATTCTGTATTAAACTGAAACTGTCTAGCAGTAAAATCCAAGCTAAGCTGAAGCACACATAATGGAAACTAGTGGGAATTAGGGAATTATTACAGATGATTTCATCGCATGCAGTCAGTCTGACAATTCCTAAACAAGCTGAACGAGGAATAAACCAGCCAGCCACCAGGTAAGCTGCACACTGCAATGTTCCCTTCCCAACCTCTTCAAGTGTAAATGACCCAAACGCTGGAATTTCACCACACTCTGCTCGCCAATACATTTGGCAGTCTTTTGAAGTTAAGCTATTCTGCTACAGCACGTATGATGAAAATACATCTATTTCAATTCCCCTGCTAGAGCACACTGAGAAAATTTGGCACCGAGATGAATTCCCGACCCGTGCGATGGCTCTGCAGTGACGGCGCCGGCCAGACCGACAGCTGAACATCGGCCTCTTCCTACGGCCAGACCTTCCCCCGACAGCATCCCAATCACCGTCCCGAAGGAATCTCGGGCTGCCAAAGCAAACACCTTATGCGCCCGGGATCCTGCGCACGCCGCAGGCAGGCAAAGACCCAGTCGCAAGGCTCTCATCCCTGCCCGCAGCGCCCACCTCCCCGCGCCCCTCAGCAATCCCGCAGCACGGCCCCTTCCCCAGGAGCCCTCTGGGCTGGGCGACAAGGGGTTAAACCCCTTCCCAATGCTGTGGCCCCACATTCTGCATCCCTGGCTAATAAAAGCCAGGGGAACGCAGATTACAAAGACTGCAAAGTGCTCCCCTGTACTTTTTATTAAGGAAGCAGTGCTGCAGTGAATTATGATTATATTGTGTAATGAAATCATTAGGGAATAAAGATGATGTGGCTGTGCATCCATCCCCACCGATCCCAGGAAGCCAGGAGTGATTTACAAACAGATTGAGCCAACATTAAAGAGATAAACAAACGGTCAGGAGCTCAAGCTTATTATATCATATTATTTACATGCTATTCTCAAATACTCTCGTAGGTCATAAAGCTCAGTCGGCCAGTGGAAGCTTAAGGATCCCAAATTATAATCAAGAGTTAAATTTTCTAGTTCCCACCAAAATTACAGAGTGACTCAGACTAAGTAATAGCTCAAGGAAAAAAAATAAAAATCTATCTTAGCTTTTTCTCTTAAGTAGGTCTCATTCAAATGGATGCTAAAAGAAATGAGGTAAGTAACAGACACTAAAAGCCTCACAAAAAAAATTAAGCATATACTAGTGCCGTTTTTACAGAAGTGAGAATATAAAAAAAAAATCACTAAGAAAAAGGTAACAGCCATGCCCCAAACCAGCCAAAGACAGCATCTAAACCTTCACTCTCTTCAGCTATTACTGGAAGGCTTCACTGTAAAGATCTAGAGCCCAAATCAGATCTTTTATTTAATATCTTCCTTTTAAAAGGTATTTGGATAGACAGGTCTTTGACCTGAAGCACTAATTCATGACACCTAAAAAAAAAAAGAAAGCCCTTGGGTGCTTTCGGAGGTTTGATCATCAAGAAGGTAGCGACAGCCACAATGTCAGAGCAGGGGAAAGGGCAGCTGAGGGGGCAGCAAGACCTTCAACCCTTATAAAAGCATAATGCGTTTCTATTTGTAGGAAAAGCAAAGTTCACCCCCGCAAAGGCACTCCAAGTTCATTTATGTTCGGTGTCTTTTTAATCCGGGACCTGCTGCTCCGCTCCTGCTAAACCAGGCCGCTGCTCTGGGAAGCGGCTGGGGGAGAGGAGCTCGGTTCAGCCCCTCCTGACGCGCCGTGCGCGCTGGCAGAGAGCGGCTCGTGGCCCTTCTCCGCGCTGTGACAGGTCCTGTGCCAACAGCCGCGGTGCGGGCAGTCAGATCCCAGGGCTGAGAGGGTTAAGCCTGGGAGGAGTGTACATAAGGTGGTAGATCTGGAGCCAATGAGAATATTGCGCTATAGTTAGACACTGGATACTAAGCGAGGGTGACTATAAAGGCTGCTCAAAGCTGAGCTTCTCTAGATGACACCGGCACGTTGCCCTCAGCTCCTAGGCTTACAAAGCCGAAAAAACACAGGAGGATCAGCTCGGCTTACCTGAAGTTCACACCACGCAACTTCCACCCACGTCTCCGTGTCCAGACCCTTATAGACCGTTTTGAAGGATCCCCTCCCGAGTTCAATATCAAACTTTAGGAACCTGCCATCCAGCGAGGTGGCAACCGCTTTCATGTCAGCCTCCTCCTCGGGCTCCTCTTTCTTAGCCTTGCTCTGATCTCTGGCAGCATCCGACGCCTCTTTCCTCTCCACATCCTTGCCAGGTTCCTTCGGCTCTTCAGCCCCCGCGCCGCTGCCAGGGGCCGGCGCTGCCTTCGGCTGCCCCGGGGGCTGG